AAATTGTAGTAGGCAGAATAGTGACCTCCTCCCCAAGAAGTTCCGATTTTAATCCCTGAAACTTGTGAATAGATTTCTCTGCCTGGCAAAAAGGACTTTGCAAAGTGAGATTAGATTTAGGGCCTTGAGGTTAGGAGTTTAGCCTGGGTTATCTTGGTGGGTTTGGTCTAATCATGTGAGTCTATAAAAGCAGACCAGCTTTTCCGGTGATGGTCAGAGGTGAGATGTGACCACAGAAGAGTCTCAGAGACAGCCTGTGGCTGGCTTTGAGGTGGAAGAAGAAGCCACAAGCCAAGGAAAACACTGCTAGGAGCTGGAGTAGGCAAGAAAGCTGATCTGCCCTGGAGCCTCCTGAAGGAACGGAGCCCTGCTGACACCTTGACTTTGCCTGGAAAGACCTATGTTGACCTGAGGACTTACAGAACTGTGAGACAAGAAATTTGTATCGCTAAGCCACTAAGCCACTAAGTTGGTGGCAGTTTATTATGACAGCGGTAGGAAACTAGTGCAGAGAGGATACTACAAAAGCCTGGGGCGTTGTTCTCCTGGGCTTTCTAGTTGAGGCAGGAGAGGAGGACAGGGCGATGCTCAGGCCAGGCGAGTGGGAACCTGGCTGGAGGCTGGAGCGGAGCGGGCCTCGAGGGGCTCAGGGAAAGCTGGAGGGGATGCGGTGTCGGGTTGTGACTTCAGGGGCAGTGCAGCTTATGGGTTGGAGTGTGGACGCTGCTGCTGCTGGTGGGTTTGAATCTTGACTGCCTCTCACTGGTGGGACCTTGAGAAAGTCACTTAATCGCTCTGCACGTCAGTTTTCTAATAGTTAAAGTGGGAATACTAACAGCGCCTCTCAAAGGGCTTTTGTGCAGAGCGGACGGGTTCACGTGTGCTGTGCTTGGCCACCCCAAGGGGGTGGGTGTTTGCCGTTGGTATTTTCCCTCAAGAGGGAGGGGCAGGGGTTGGTAGGAGTTGGTGCATCACAGGACGGCGGGTCCACTGCCCAGGAGAGGACGGCGCCCCATTGCGTGCTGGGAGCACTCAGAGGGAAGTGGAAGACAAGGCTGGCGGGTACATGAGCCAGGTGAGGTGGCCTGTGGCTGGACTGTAGCACTTAGTGCCCCGGCAGACTGGCAGGCAGTGGGACAGACAGATGGCCCATCAGGGTGCCGCTCGGATTTCCTTAAGGGGGAAGGTAGATTTCTCTTCTGAGCTGTGGCTGCAGCGTCTTCCCACTCTCCCTGTCTTCTGTCCCCTAATCCTGAAAGACCTGACCTCTGAACACGGAGGGCAGAGCCCTCCGCATCTCTGCTCCTGCCTCCACCCCACAGGTGTGCAGTCATTCAGGGGTCACCGCCTCGGACACTGTGGGCACTGGGTCACTGGGGCCCAGCTCAGAGAGAGAGAGAGAGCGCACACACTGAGTGGGCTAGAGCTGCTGCCTAAGTTGGACACTCTTGTTACCTGCTTCTTTTGTGTCCTTCCAGAAGGAAGAGCAGAAATCTCCATGTGCAGCTTTGGCAGGTCACTGATGTCTGGGCCCCAGGATGAGCGGGGGGCTTTCCAGGTTTCTCGTGGGCCGTTTGGGCTCTGTGGCTCTGTGGCCTCTGGGTATACAGAGCTTGTTCTTGGGCACTTGGAGAATCTTTAGGGTTTGGGGAAAATAAGCTCAAGGGTCGTCCCCTGCCCCATTTCCTTCTTTTGTGCGTTGTGCTGGGTCTCCCTGGAAAGGACAGAGAATTTTTTTTTTTTTTTTTGTCTTTTTTCTATTTGTCTTTTTGAGGCAGGGTCTCACTATGCAGTTCAGGCTGGCCTTGAGCTCACTTTGTAGCTCAGGCTGATCTTGAACTCGAGACGATTCTCCTGCCTAAGCCCCCTGAGTGCTGGGGTTACAGGCGTGTGCCACCACGCTTGGCTTAAGGACAGAGTATTGATGTTAAAAAAAAAAAGAGGTGAAGCACTCAGAGGAATTAAGATGAAGGAAGTATTTGGCAAGAGGAAGAGGACAGGAGATGTGTGTGTGTGTGTGTGTGTGTGTGTGTGCGTGCGCGTGCGCGCGTGTTCAGAGGAAGCATCTGCATTTGCAGCATTTCAGGGATACTGGTATTTCTTGCTGTCAGTCTGCCTTGAGGGCCAATAAGAAAACCACTCAGTAGGTGATACCTGATCTTCTTTTCTTAAATTTTTAATTGTGGTAATGACACTTAACTTGAGATCTACGCTGGTAAAGACTTTTCAGTGTACTGTTTTTTTTTGAGGCAGGGTCTTGCTTTGTAGCTCAGGTTAGCCTTGGATTCTCCTTGTAGCCCAGGCTGGCCTCAAACTCATGGCGAGCCTTCTGCCTCAGCCTCCCAGGTGCTGATATTACAGGTATGCGCCGCCAAGGCTGGCTTCAGTGTATGTTTTTTTTTTTTTTCCCGGTACCGGGAGTCGAACTCACGACCTTGCGCTTGCCAGGCAGGCGCTGTGCCGCTAAGCTGAATCCCCAGCCATGGCTTCAGTGTATGTTACCTGTAGATACAATGTTGTTTGTACCTGATCAATGTAGAACGGTAAACCGAGCTGTAGTCTTTTCTCCTGAACACTCTCACCTCTCCGAAACATCAGTCTTGGTTAGCATTGACTTATCTGGGCTGTTCTTGATGGTTTGGCAGCTTAGGCGGAGTGCTGGGGTGTGCGCGCGTGCGCGTGCGCGTGCGCGTGCGCGTGCGCGTGCGCGTGCGCGTGCGCGTGCGCGTGCGCGTGCGCGTGCGCGTGCGCGTGCGCCAATCCATCTGGGATGCTTTGGAAAGGGTATTCAGAGGGAGTGTATGCCTGTAAGGACTGCACATTAAGGACTGTTATTTGGATGTTACATGAACTTAGGCTTCTGGGAAACCAGTGTTACCACATTTGTTTTTTGCCTAAACATTTACGTAATAAAACACCACCTCCTGTTTGCCTCCACCCTCTCCTTCCTCTTAAAACTTGCTGTTCACTTGGGGCACAGAATAAAAAAAAAAAGTTGTGAAATTGAGACTGACATCAGCCTGATAAGCAGACCTTGAGCCCTGAGAACTCAAATTTCTGACAGGTAGCAAACATATCTTTCTATTTAAAGAAGTTACTCCTTTATTGTTTTGTTAGACTGAAGTGGCTTATCTTTGTGGATATGTTTTTCAAAGGATTGTCCATTGTCCTAAAGGAGTTAGTGCTTTGACTGGTGCAACATTTCTATGTTATGGTTGCCACAGCTTGTTCAAAATATATTGCTCTGAAATCCTGGGCTTTTCCTTGTTGACAGAGACATGTTGCAAAAAATTGCAGAGATTTAGTAACTGTTTTTATACTACCATTTCCTTTATTTTCCGTCACTTTCACTTTCATAATTGAGGGTCAAAAACAGCCTGTGAACTGCCTGTGATTCTGTTTAAAAATATTTGGAGAAGATATCAGAGAAAGGAAATAGCAGATTAAAATACCAGGAAAAGTAATCACAATAGAAGAAAGCTGTCTCTCTTTTTCTCTCTCTCTGTATATATATACACACACACACACACACACACACACACAGACACATATGTCTACTAGAATGGATTGGAACTCAAACAAAATTGTATTAATTTGGGTCGATGAAGAATAAATACTTCGTGTGGTTAAGTGCACAGAAAGTGATCATAGGAATGTTTGTGTACGGGAATCAAACCTAGGAACAAAAGCATTCTTCAAGATAAGTGTCATGCCATTCTCATACTGAGGAAGTTTACTTGTGTACAGTGTGCTATGTACTAAATAGGGCCACATTAAAATAGCACCACTTACTCCAGTGATGTCTTTGTACCTTTTTTAAACTTACAAAATATTTGATAGTATTTTTAATTGTAAGATAGCTAATGTGATACAAGAGCGAATGAGTTTATATATTTCTGTTAGGAAAGCAATTGTAGAGAGGTGCTGTTACACAAATAGAACTGAAGCTGTCAGAATTCAGATTTTGATATTTGTATCGTTATATTTATGCTATATCTTTTACAACTTAGGCATTTAATATTATTCCTAGGGTAAAAAATAAAAAGCAATCCCATTTCATTGCAGCAGATGATAATTTTGAATTCTTTGTTTAGTTTAAGAAGTAAATTGGCTTAGAATCACATGATTTCAGACCTGAAAGTAAAACCTATGATTGTCGAGAATCCAAGGTTATTGCTGGGAACAGAGAATAATTGGTGTAACTCTGTTATCCTTTAACTGTAATGATTTGTCTTGTATTAAGTGATCAGAGAAAAAGAAAGTCTTTACTCTTTAACTCTTACAGCCTTTGAAACCTATGTTCACTAGGCTGACTCCAATGGGGTAAACAAATGACAAAGTAGGATTTAAAAAAAAAAACAAAACCCTAACAGCCTTTAGCAGCATTATGTGCCTTTTGAGAGCCAGGCTTTGAGGTATTTTTCATGTAATAATGCATTTGTTCTTCAGTAGCTATATAGGTGCAGGTTCTGTCGATCACCCTTTTACAGATGAGGGCTCTGGGCACACAGAGGTTAAGGGGGTAGCCCAGGGTCACTTAGGAGCCCTGAGCCCCGGTGTCCTGACTGTAGAGGTGGTGCCTGGGTCCGTGCCTACCCCCATCCCCACGTCAGATGCAGAGATGCTGCTGTGTGTCAACACTGTGAGGTTTGTACTTTGTTTTTTTTTTGTTGTTGTTTGTCTTTTCTTCCGGTACTAGGAACCGAACTCACAACCTTGCGCTTGCCAGGCAGGCACTTTGCCGCTGAGCTAAATCCCCAGCCCCGAGGTTTGTACGTTGAGAGCCTCTTCTAGTCCTGAGCTTTGCCTCAGTATTCTCTTGTCCCTGTGATCAGCTGGCACTGTTGTTCTCACACATGAGGACTGCTGCTTCGGTAGCACAGTACCCTGGCCGCTGGGTTATTTCTGGGCATTGTTTCTCCATTCATCCAATCAGTGTAAATGTGAATGGGGACTGCTGCTGTCTATGTGCTTGGTAGTATGATAGAGGCCAAAGTTCCTCAATAAATAAGAACACTGAGGAGCTGCGGTGTTCAGAGCTTACAGTGTGGTGGGAGACAGCCCCAATATTCGATAAGGGTAAAACTATCATTGTGATCAGAGCTGCAGAGGAAGATGACGCAAGGGAAGAGTACTAAGGATTTGGCCTTGTGGAGAGAGTTAGATTAAGCTCCCCTGCATTAGGGAGCTTATAACTAGGATCTGAAAAGTGACGGGTGGGTCACTTTTCTGATAGATGAGTTTGAATTCTCCATTGTTGGCCTTCAGCAAATTGGTCACCCTGTGGTAGTGATCTTGAGCAGGTTACATCGCCTCTCTAAGCCTTAGTGTCTTCATCTATAAAATGGGTGGTTGTGGGAATTAAAAGAAGCGGTCTGCATAACATATTAAGCACAGGGCTGACACAATAGTGTGTGAATAGTATCTGTGTCTATTGTTTGTGTTTTCTATACTAGAAACTTCAAAAAGATTTTTACTTAAGTTTTTTTGATTCTGTAACAAAAACTAAACACCTAGCATACATGTCCTTATCATCTTTATCATCTAAACTGTGGAAGAGATCGTTAGGTTGCTATTGGTGTGAAGTCATATTCAGAGTGGGACTTTCTTGGAACCAGTTGTAACACATCTGTGACAGACTCTGAAGACATAGCAGTGTAGTGGTACCTCAGTTCACGAGCTTAATCCTTTCAACCAGAATTGTGGAATGAATTAAGTTTGTGAACTGAGAGAACTGTGTTAGAGCACATCTCCATTTCTGATCAAGTCTGTCCTGAGTAGTAGGCCATACACGCTTTCGCTATAAGTATCACTCTCTTTTTGCCAACTGATACTTTCCCCACAGTGTTTGTGGTTACGTAGGATTTTTTCTCATCGCTAAATGAGCAGAGATCTCTGTACATACTTTTAGATAAACACACAACTTACTTTTTTTTTCTTGATCTGTGGAGATGTATGTGTAAGGATTATTCCATCTTTTCACTGGAATAATACAGTTTTTTGTGGCGCTAGGGATTGAATCCAGGGTCTTATGCATGCTAAACACATGATCTACCACTAAGTTATAGTCCTAGT